TTGCTGGCATTCCGCAACGAAAGCAACGCAGCGCAATAAATGCCACGCAAATACCAAACTGGCTTACAGACGCTCCGCTGCGCTGCGCCGCGTCGCCGGAACACGATCCCGTGCAAAATGTCAAAAGCCGTACGCCAATAAATGAGGTGCGACCTCTTGCAAATCTTCTCCCAATTAGCTCGCTGATACGAGATCAATCGCATAGGGACCCGCGCGATTAACGACTGTACATCATCTTCCGTAACTATTGGGTAGATCCAAAAGCACGCGTACTGCTATTACCCCTCTCACTGAATCTTTTTAGTACCTTGTAGAAACATTTTTTTTCGTAGAATCAAGAATCAATAGTTATTTTAAGACTGCCTAGAACATTTTCTAAATATTCTTTCTATAAACAATATGTTTACTCGCGATAAGTAATGAATCAGTAGTCGGAGTAACACCGTTTGTCTAATGTTTGAACGTCATTTAATGAAGTTTCGTACTGCCAATCGTCAAGAAATGTTCAAGATATTGTCGCTAAAGTGATAAAGTATGCGTCTATTGTAATATAAAAATGCAGTTAGTAGGTTAATAACCGCGATAGGAATATCAAGTTCGGTTTAGTATACGAAAAGTTGCTAGACGAATATAAAAAAAAATTAACAGAGAAATATAAAATGAAAATGCAAAGTTTAAGGAGGAAAGTAAAAGGGATTTACGACGTCCGAATGGTACGCTATATGTCGCAACACGTGATGTTCAATGCAAGCCAACGTACACGATGCCTCGATGATCCTAGCAAATGTAAAGAAGTGTACGGAATCAGTGCGGCACGAAATTCTAGGACGATTTACGGATGATCTAACACTTACGGACAACGGTAGTGTATAATAAAAAGATCGCGGGAGAAATTTGCGAAAGTAAATGTCGCATGGTTCCGGGAATTCCAAGAAATCGAGTCGACGAACCGTGCACGATGAGATCATCATCGTGAATCCTTAATGGAAGCAGAGGAACGAGATCGAGCGATGACGAAAAAAGAACTGTTTTCGCCGTGATCGATAATCCGTCGCGTCGCAAGTAGGGAGGGTTCGTCGGTGGTCAGACGACGAGTGTCTCTTAACCACGCGTCGAAATCTCCCGCAGTCCCGGCGGATTGCGTCAAGATTACGAACGATCGTACTGTTTCTGAAGTGTCCGACACAAATTTATTGTAAATCCAAGCGTTTTCTAGTTGCACAAGCGTTTTCTCGCTTGAACGGATCCCGTGCTCTTGCAAGTCTTTTTACGTAACGGAAGAAGAAAGTACTTTGGCACGAGCCACATAAATTCCTCGAGAATTGAGAGCCGGTCGGTTTCTACTCTTTCATACCCGGATTCGTTTTTTTTTTATTTAACACACGGACAGCCAATAGCGGAAAAGTATGGTTTATACAGATTATTTCTCTCAGCAGTGAAAACACGCGTTTTAAAAGCTTGATGTTAATAACAGGCGACTACATGTTCGCCAGCTACGTGATATTCTCTACAGACAACGCCAGGTGTCTGTATGTTGATACAAGAAACAGTATTTATGTATTATCAGCTACTTATAATTGAATGTAACACTTCTGCTAGTTTAATAATTCGTCATAGCAAAGAAAATGTTAAAAATCAGCGATTCTATTTCTCAGGAATGCAGGTTACACGAAGAAGTAAAAGAAGTTTCGAAAGATAACAATAACAGTTATTTTGCAGTCGGAACAAGAAACTATTTAAGAAAATAAATCATTTCAATCTTTATATCTGTATAGATTGACAAGAACTGAATGACTGCGTAGTGAAGTCATCGATACTGTTGTTAATTAAAACAGTTAAATGTTTGCATTAGGTATCGCGTTACAGGCAACTCTAGGTTTATCCGTTTGTAAACTTTACTAACGATCGGGTTGTCTTACCGACACAAGCAACTACTACTCGCTTCCAGTGCGCTGGAACAAGTGAGCTCTACCGGTGACGGCTAATTTCACTTGTCTGCCCGTTACCGACCGTATCTACTTGGCTCCCACAGTGGCGCCACAGTAGCGGGAGAAAGAAACACGTTGTTGGAACTAATTTCCCTTGTACCTCTTTGGATAACATATTAACAGCTTATTTCAATTTGCAGCGCAATGATGAAATTTACGTGTCGATTAGGGTCAAATACTTGTATGGAAATTTCAAATTTTTAAAACCTGTAAACACCTCTATCGAAGAATACGATTCAGTGCATTATTTCGTGAATGGCTCCAAGGATGAAAGATTGATCAAACTTGCAACAAGTGGCTATAAAAAAGACCTTGTTTCAAGGCTGACAGGAATAACCAACGAACGGATTCTGGGAGTGGAATTATTATTAGACGCGATGTAATCCATCGATGCTTAAGGAAACTGGAATCTTTCGGTAGCTTCGACGTAATCGAAACCCAAGAAGGAAAGTATTTTGCAGAAAGTTTAGCGTAGTAGCATGAGTTCATAGTGGCAAATTCCTATTCCCACTTTCTCTTCTTTTCCTTACAAGTGACAAGATTATATGTGACGACATGTTTCGAACCTCTGGTTTACAACAAAATATACAACAATATTTATAGTCGATATTCTATACAATCATTAATTTAATTCTGACCCATTAGAACCACCGACGAAGAAAATGAGTTACTGGATGTTTCCTTTTCGAAAACTGATTTACAAAAATTGATTGTACTACTAGTGTTTATAAATAATATATAATAATACGCATAGCACAAGAATTCTTCCATTACCGTACATGTGTACTAGGATCCGCTCAGGTACACAATTTTGCGATAGTCATGCCGCAGCAATCATAGATGAAGTTAGCAGAGATCATTCTATCGATGAAACACAATCCAGAGAACGGTTCAGGAGATGGCCGGGTTTCCGTGATAAAAGGAACGGAAAGAAAACAACTTTACCAACCGCGGTAGAATGTCCCTGATCTCTCTTCTCCTTTCTCGATGGAACCGAAAGCGAGCTATACATATACCACGAGCCTCCACAGCTCGAACACCATTCGACGGCTTGATCCCCGCTGTAACAAGACTTCGGGCCAAGTAACGGTAAACTCCATATCGCATCGTTCTTAGTGTCCTATTCACTCTGCGCTCACTCTCGAATATTTTTTCCCGTCCACTTTGAACGGTTATTCATCCTGCAACCACACCTCCGTTCCAGCGACTTTTCCGATGCTTTAAAGTTGTACTTCACACAGCATTTCAACTTCGAAATTCAATTTCTAGTCACACCTCGAACTACCTTGAGTGTTCGTTCACGGTTCCTTAATTTCTGTTTCTACCTATGCCATTCGAATTACGTAAGCAAATTTCACGACATCGATCGTACAATTTCGAGTTGAAGTTTTCATGATTTATCAGTGTTCATTCTCAAAAGCTTCTCTACGTACGACCGTGGTTTTGTTTCGTAATATACTTTGCGATCAATTCATCCTCTATCGATTATCCGAAAAAGGTTCGTCTTCAACACGCTTCTTCGATTCATTCCATAGGCATCATTTATTCTTAATTCTTTTGCCAGTCATTCTGAATGGACGTTCATCGTCCTTTACATCCAGTTCCTACCTCAGCGAATCAAGTTACGTAATCAGTTTCTGCGACATCGTATCTTTTCGAGTTGAAATTTTTCGGATTTTTCAGTGTTCTCGCTCTCGAGGTCTTTTCCATCGACTTTGAACAATCGTTTCTCGTTCCGTAACACCTTGAGCCGGCCACATAACCGTTCTTGCGTAATAAATCGCCGACAATTTAGACACAAAGGACTCGCGCGTTCGACACGCTTCTTCGATCGGCGAAATGATCCGAGCGACCAGGTGGTTTTTTTTTTCTTTCCAGAATGGCGCCGCGGCGGTCAGACTTCAGACGCAACGCGCGTTTCCGAGCGCGAAACGTCGACCGAACACGGCTGGATCAGATAAAGCGTAACCCACTTTTTCACGGTGCGGCACACGTTCCGTGGAAACGTTTTCCGAGGGACGCGGGCGTGCTCGCTCACTCGCACGCTTCGATTTATACGAGGCCGAGAGTATTGTTTTAACGGTTGTCGTGTGTCGCCCGGCCGGGCACAATAAAACTACCAGGCCGAGATTCGCGACGGGAACAACCGGAAATAATAGCGTTGTACAGTCAGGAGCCGCGTGGAGAACCAGAGCAAGCGCGAGAAGCGCAGAACAACGAGGACGCCGTAAAAGGGACGTAAAACATTCTGTCAGCGCTGCCGGAGCTACTGTCTCTTGGAACGATTATAGTTCGTCCCAGACAACAGAGACCTCGAATATTTCGTCCGTATTTAGGTCTTTCAGCCCCTACTACACCGATGCGCTATCACTTATGTTTCCAAATAACAGACTCGTTGAAACACTTACGCGATGCAATTTTTCCCCTTCTTTTCTTTTCGTTTCCTTACGTACGTTCCCCATGCAATCGACCCCGAATCGACTTTCCGAATCGTTGGCAACGAAAATAAAAATCTGCGCGGTGGTAAAACCCGAGGAAAATTAAAGGGGCTCCAGCTGCGATCATTCGGCCACCTGTTGCCCGCAGAAATTCGATAGACGTACACAATCGGTGGAGAGAGACACCTCTTTGCATAATTCGTTCATCTTGTCGTCTCCCTACTACTTTATCGCGTGGTTTATCGCTTGTTCTCTGAATAACGGGGTCGTTGGAATATTGCACGAGGCGGAAAATTGGTTTATCGAGTGTTCACGAAAATTGTTTTCTCTCCCGTGCGTTCAAGCGAGTCGCTTTTCCGAGTCGTTGGCAACGGAAATGAAATACTGCGCGGCAAGAACCAGGGATGAAATAAACGAGTCTCTATCGGTCACCATTCGCCCACCTGTTGCCCGCAGAAATTCGCCGACTGGTACTGATTTACGGATGGGCCATTAGCGGGGAACGTTTTTCCCCCTGCTACTGCATCAAGACGAATGGCGGAACCGATGGAGATCCGTGGGATTAAGGACTCACCTTAGCGCAGTTCTCCTCCCCGTTCCTCTCGTGCTTCTCGAAGCTGACGAAACGGTTCTGAAAACCGAGAAACGTTCACGTTAATCTTCATGGCTTACGCGTTGAATTATGTTAAGAAAAGAATAGGATGGTCGTTAATGACAGAAACAGCGTGGTACATCGTGCGTTCGCGCGAGAAATGATCGGTGTTTTAAAGGAGATATCAATGAAACAGTATCAACATTTCGATCCCCGCGACAACAGGTATGGACAACTCACCTTTTGGTTCAAAATTCAAATTTAATAGTGAAATTTTCAATGAAATAAATTTGGTTAATGTCCACGAAATTCGAGAAACTTAGTTAAACGTGGTCTAATAGAGCTTTCATTTTGTAAAGGAGAAAGTTTTCAATCCTGTAGAAGATTTATGATCACTGGTCCAGCAGACAAAGCGTTAACTGTTAACACGTGTTGCTTGGATCTGTCCCAAAACTATTTCGAATTAATAACATCGATGAAAACTACCGATCTTCGGATTTTCATAAGCCTATTACGGTACAACTGATAAAGTACAACCATAGACAAAACCCAGAAGGAAAAATAATATGGTATGAGGAAAAAAAATTTACTACGAAGAGAAAGAAGACAAAGCACCAGTAACAATAATGATAAAATTACTGAGTCACCGTGACAACGCAGACTGTATTTATACGTCGATGATCTAAGAGTGCCAACTAAGGTAGAAAAAAAATTTAAAGTTTTAAAAGTGAAGACGCTTTGTCTGGAACAGTTTTCCTATCTTCGTTCCCTTCGATTTGCATTCATATAATCATCGTAGCACAACCAAGAGAAGACTCGCGAGAAACAGTTCTCCGACAACAAACACGCACCTTTCCGTATAGAGAAACGGTAACGGATGAACCGTTCGATTTTCCTCGATCGGTTATCTAAACATACTACCGGCGAGACCGTAAACGCAGGTGTGACGCAACCAATGAAAGTAGTCAGTAAACGAGTCGTCAGACCCGTGAATATATGTATATATCTTTTGAGCTCTCACGAGAGAAAGTTACAGATAAGAAGACTTCCTCCTTACCCATGATCTCTTGCGCCACGACGAAGCGATGGAACTTAAGATCAAAACATTTTTCAACAATTTTCTCATCCGCCCGCGATCCCCGTTCCTGTCAGTCATTTCGCTCGCGTCCTAAGGAATCTCACTGTCGAATCGCTGCAAGTTACACATCGAAGAATATCACACGTTCGATGAATCGAAAAGTGTTTCGCTGTCCAACAAGGGCACGGTTGTTCGCGACGAAAACTGCTCGCGAGGATCGGGGAAACGCGGTTATCCGGAACGAGTCGACAAGTGCGCACCGCGAACGCGACTAATCGCTCGGTTCGCGTCGTGCAACGCGACCACGCCAATTCTAGGAATGAAAAGCGTTCACCGTGCTATCTTACCTCGGCGGTTTTGCTGATAACGTTCACCGACAGCCTGAAACGTAGAAACGAAACGTGACATCAGATACGGTTTAAACGGCGGCGCTGGAGAGGCGTGGAATTTAATCCTTCGTCGCGAACAAGGGTTGAAACGGTCCAAAAAATCACACCTAGATATCCATGGTGATTATTCGTGACAAACTGCTTTTCTTTAAATGGCGCACTGATGCTCACCGTTGGTCGAGACGCTAACATATTTTTCAAAGTGCTTAAGCTCACTATTTATTTACTAATAAATATTTTTAAATAAAAAAAGTACCTTATAATCGAGAAACAGCAATCTTTGAAACACAAACACATTTTTTGAAAAAGGTCTCATGGGAATGCAATTTTTTCTCAACTTTCCTATTTGCATTCAATATTTTGCGAAGAAAATCGCTCACGCGTATAACTAATTTCAACCCCTGATCGCGAACATCTTCCAAAAAGTTACAAATTCCAGAGACAATTATCCCGACTGTGGATCGAATGTAGTAGCATAAAAATTATTGAATCAAATATAAGGAGTGTACAAATCGAGGTAGGATAGTACTAATGATAGAACATATACTATAAAAAACTGAACAAGGCGTTCAAGGCTCTTAGCATCATCAGGATGATGTAACTAATTAGTCTTTCAACACGTCCAAAGGACACAGTTCTACGTCATCGAAACCACAATGCTCCAAAGCTTATCGTATGCACGAGCATTACACAAGTTTTACTCGTCGACATTCGTCGTCGGTAAGCGCCGCGAAAGCCACGAAACGTTAAAGGAGATGAACACAAAGGTCGAACGATGAAAGTGCACCGGACCGCGACCGCGGTAGGTAGGTAGGTAGGTAGGTAGGTAAATAGGTAGGTAGGTAGATAGATGGAAGCCGCGGCGCGTAAAAAATTTAGTCCACCGTCCGAGGATCATCGTCTTGATAAGTTTTTTTCGTCGGTCTTGTTCCCGTCTCTCGCCACGAATACCCTCTTCCGGTCTCGGTTTCTTATCGAGATAAAAGCTCCGGGAAAAATTGGTCTGTCTCGACGGGGAAAAGGTCAACGAACGAGGTAAAAGTTCGCCTCTCCTCTCAGATTCCCAGGAATGGGGAAGACGACTAATTTCGGAGTGTATGTCGATACTTACGTGCACGATGCCCGCGGTATCCGAGGAGGTCGCCGTGGCTAGCTGGTTCCGGTTCTCTATGACCGTCTTTATTTGCTCGAGCACCTGCAAACGAACGAACGAACCGCGTGTACGCTCGGCAATTATCCACAATGCTACCCGTAATTATCGTTTCTGTGGAACCCCGTGGCCCAGATTTCAGCTCCGACGGCTCTATTAAAACGGTAGTCCGGGAGAGAAAAAAAAATTCGCTTCCAAGCCGACCGTTTCCGTTTCAAAGAGCACTCTTGCGGAGTCTCCTTCGGTAGTTCTTTTTCGGTCTCGTTCCGCGTTTACCCGGGCTTCGCACGTGCGCAATGGTAAAATTGCCTGGCGAAAATTTCACGCGCGTTCCGCGGCTTTCTGTTCGTGTACCTTTCGTTGAGCCTCCTTAAGCCGCGTTTAAATGTTTGTAACTCCGTGCAGCATAAAAATTCGTTTCCATTTAGGATGTATTGGTAAATTTCGGTGGACCGTAGAAGTTATTCAAGAAGCATTTAGTTGTCTCTTGACCTTTCTAGTCCTTCTCGAAGGACGCTAGAAGACGTTAGAGCTCTTCCAGTGGTCCAGTAAATGGTATCAAAGTGCTCGGGTCAAAGATGGAAACGGGAAAGGAGTGAAGGTGGGATGAAGATACACAGAAATAGCAGACAAGACCAGGTGAGTGTTTACTTCAACCTTTGGGGTACTTCAGAAACCACTTTGGAGTCCAAAGATCAACAACACTGAAGGTTTCTCCTTTAACGACACTATATGTTACGTATCCTAATTAGTAATACATGAAATCCGAAGAAAATTTGTCACAAAACACGATTACTGTTATATTTTGCAAGTCGTTCAAAACTTTTTGACTGGTACCGTAACTGACTGACTAATTAAGTGTATAATAAATACTGGCTAAATTTACGGAATATACACCAAGTTTGCCATTGCACACGTACGGGCTAGGATTTTAGAGTATACGTATACAAGAAATGTTACCCGTAGAGATATCCTGTGCCTCTGTACGACGTGCTGATTGTAGTCCTTGTGCTCGATCTCGTTGCTCTTTCTCGTTTGCCGTCGCTGGAAAATAAAAAAAGAAACGGAACAGTCACGATGGCCCGGTGTCACGTGCTTTTCTACGAACGTGAAAACAACAATTCGAGACTTTCCTCGTGTATCAGAACGGAACGCGAGACGCTTTTTCCCCCCTCGAGCCGCGAATAGAAAGGATCTGGCTCGGCGATTCTTCGTTGATTCGCGAGGTTTACGGGACGGGCCATGATCCCGAGGCGAAACGACTCGTTCGCTTTCGAACGAGATATAAATCTGCCCGGGACATGTAAATTCACACCTGCGCCGCGAATAAATGGGCGAACCACGAGATTCGCGTGCAACGATTTAACTCAACCTTCCAAGCACTTTTTGTTTCCGTATTCGTTTTACTAATGATTCTTTCATCTAACTGTATCCTACAAAGATCTGTATTTGTATAAATCCCAGTGTATTCACGTTTACTGAAGCAGAATCCTCACCACATTAATTTTGCGTAAGTATATGCAGCCTAAGAAAAACTAATCCTGCTGTGCATACACACTGTCACTGGCTAAAATAAAAGTACGAATGGGATAGATGACTGAAGTGTGCGTCGAAGAGAAATGAATGAGATCAAGTGAATGAAAGAGGCAGTCAGCAGTAAATGATACAAGATGGATCAATTAAGAAAAAGTGTTCGTTCGTTGTTCCCAAAGACAAATAACCAAAGAGTATAATAAAATGTGACCGGAGCAATTATGAGGAATTCTAACGCTAGATCGCTGATGCCTCGAGTGACCCAAGCGTTGGTCTCATCGCTCACAGAGGAAATTGGAAGACGAGTCACGAGCCGATCCTGGACACGTGTAACCGCCTTAACTCGATTCACGCGTGCTCAGAATACCGTGGTCGACATTACGCTCATTGGATAACGAGAATAACGCCTCCACCGCGCCTCTGTTTATCACTCCTCACCAGTGATCGCGAATTACGTCGATCACCGTGAATCTGGCACGATTGGTTTCGAGCGACCAGTGACCAATGAGTCGCGTTTCGTCGTCACGAAGAGATTCCTTTCCATTTCGGTTTAAATGTAACTGAAGTACTTTCAAATAAATATGCAATATTATCTTATATGTTAGCACTCGGCAAATTTTTTAATAATTTGCACTATTTATATATAAAAGTCCCATGTCATCGTCTATATTTCTCTAATTTATTTTCAACTGACCTTCAATTTCTGTTACTCTCGAATCAACGTCTTCCAAGAAAAACGCTTTCAAGAACAAGAGGGACATTCACGATGTTCATCAGCTTCTTTGTCTCAGACACGGATTTTCATCAACGGTAACTTTACCAACATACTTCTTTCCTCCATTCTAACTTTCCCTAATGGCAACGAAGTCTGATCCTGTATATTTAATTCACCCCTACATTCCTATTCTAATTTATATACTATTCTACCTCATTTTTATTCCTTAGTCTTCTGTTACTCTCGAATCAACGTCTTCCAAGAAAAACGCTTTCAAGAACAAGAGGGACATTCACGATGTTCATCAGCTTCTTTGTCTCAAAGACACGGATTTTCATCAACGGTAACTTTACCAACATACTTCTTTCCTCCATTCTAACTTTCCCTAATGGCAACGAAGTCTGATCCTGTATATTTACTTCACCCCTACATTCCTATTCTAATTTATATACTATTATACCTCATTTTTATTCCTCAAATTACGTATTCGATTTTAAAGGTAGCAATCATTCCTAATACGAGATTTAAGTCTACCACAGCTCGGCGTCATGCAGTTTTTACGTCACTGGTGGATCGAATACCAGCCATCGGTAGTCCCCGTGACAGTCAACGTGTTAACCCTTTGGGTACATTTGACGAGTGAGACTCGTCATCTGCTTACTTGGGCGAAGTTACGGTGGACGAGTCTAACTCGTCATCTGAATTTAAGACGCAGGCGTTGATAGCGAAAAATTAAATCCGTCCCATGGGCATAAAAATCTTCAAATAATTCAGTACTCAAAGGGTTAAGAAACACTGTACCGCGAGAGAATACTGAAACTCGATTCCACGCAATTGATGGCCCTAACTAGAAGGGTTGTGAAGACGCGGAGGGTTAGAAAAATTCTGCCAGACGCTCGCGCTCACGGTCCCGGAGGAATCTCGCCGCTTGGCTCGTGAATAAAGAAGGTACCGACCTCGAGGGTGGCCAGACTGGCCAGCGACGAGAGGGGCCGTGTGTGTGGCACCTCCCCGGGGAAAACGCTGTCGTGAGACACGGACAATTTCCCGGTTCCTCCTCGTAGCTTCACGTAGGACTCTTCCATGCCCGGCCTCCTAAGGAACACACTGAAAAATAAACACAAAGGGATCGTCAGCGGACGTGGAACCGGCTCGTTTATTTGCTCGGGACGAGAGCCACCAGGAGAAAGAAATGGCCGGTGGATCTCCTCCCGGACTGTGATAGGTAGCCTTGCGAGCGGAGCAACATTTTACTCTATGGTGTGGCATGAGAAACGAGAGATGGGAATTTTTTTATTTGAATAATATATAGGGGATTGGAACAGGTCAGTCGGATGTTTATAGAATTACTATGATCGAATTGTTGTTTGAACATAATAATCATGGTGGAAGATTTTTATTTATAAAAATACGCAATAGTTAAATAAAGAAAAATGGAAAACAGAAGACGAATATAAATGTGTGGTACAAAGAAAACTAATGTAGTGTGTATTTACTAAACCAAAGAGAAATGTGGTTTTGTAGTAAAAATACTAATGTTTTATTCAATGCATAATGAGTAGTTCCTAATCATGGATCAAAGTTTTTCAATCTGGATAACGAAGTTTCCTGCTCACGCGAGAAATAAATGGTAATTGCTTTCTTTGTTCATCCCCAGTTTATTGAATTATGAAGAGGAACATCGAAAGCACGATTGAATTCGCGATAAATTGAATTAATCCGGAGCGAATCAGTCGGTCGACTTGTCCGTGAACGGTCGCAATCGAATTACGAAAATAAAGGACAGTAGGTCACAGCCGACGTATCGAGTGTGTGCGAGTCTCGTACCACGGCTTAACACGCAAAGACATCGTGATCTCTCGTGACACGGCGCTGTCGAACTGACCGGAAAAGGTAAGATAAAATAGTGAAGTTAGTAGCTTAATTACTCAAGTAATCTGTACCAAGTTTTATCTAGTTTCTTTAGCGAAATAGAGTCGATCTATTTAGACTGATTAAGCGACTCTAATAATTTAAGTATACTTTTTGAACAATTTCATTCTCTCTGTGAACTAATATTTTCGTCAACGTTCATACCACGCTGTAGAATACCAGTTCTCGTCCGATCACTGAAGTCAAGCAGCGTTGGGCGCAGTTAGTACTTGAATGGGTGACCGTCTGGGAATACCGCGTAATGTTGGCACTATTTTTCTTTTTTTACTTTTTTGCGAAAATAAAAACTTGCAGATATAGGAAAAGTATTTTGATCTAATTCTCATAGATATAAGATATCTTGAAATTAGTACTACTATCAAGATGGTATGTGGATCGTATGTGGAGACATAAATCATACAGGCAGAACACTTTAGAAGTAGAAACAGGGTGCCAGACAGACACCAGTAATCGTCGTATTCAAAAGTACACGTACTCAAAGAGTTTTCAAATCTGACTTACTCAAAAAATAATTATAAAGGTATTTGCATGAGGCAACTTTATTCTACCCTTTCATTCTATTTTATCCCGCGGAATTGTCAATACTTCGACTGTAAACTACTAAGAACAGGCCACTCTGTATACTACAGATATTCGATTACCTTAACGAACTCACCTTTCTGGATCACAGGAGTCGGTGAGCAGCTCGCTAGCACTCCGGCTGCGAGCCTCTTCCGGACGCCCCGCAGGATGTCTGTCGGTGATGTCCTCCCGTGGGAGCCGCGTGATCTCTGCATCCCTATCAGCATGGCTAGAGACCAGTCTAGGATCCGATGCGCCACGACTTTTCCGCCGAAAGATTTTCCTCAAGCCTCGAAGAGGATGGAAACGCCGTTTTTTCGGCTCTGCAAACAATAATAATTGAAATAATCACATCTCAATTGCACCATAAGAACTTCATAACAGAATGTGCCAAATCCGAATATCAAATATCAAGAAATTCCATCTAATTATGTGAACGAAACGGAACCTCGAGTAGCTTATTTGGAAAGTGCAGTTAATGGAATATTATTCGTACGGTCAAGTACTCGGCTCCAATTTCGAATACCCAAACAGCTCCAACGTGACCGCAGGGAACCAGACAATTAGTCGGCCCGATCTCACGTGAACTTTCTCTCGGAATTGCGTAACGTGCTCGCTCTATCGAGCGACGGTCGTATTCGGCTCGAACGGATTCGAGTCTCCGCGAACCCGATA